TGAGGATTGGAAATGTAAAGGTAGACATTTTATAGCAAGGAGGGGAGTGATTAACTTTTCAGTCTAGGAGCCGAGGTCCCTAGGACCATCAAGGGAGAAGAGCAGAGAGCGGGACTCTAACAGAGAAGCAGTTATGCCTGAAATGGAGCCAGAGATGATGACATGGAGCAATGGAGCAGCTGGAGACTTTAGATCCAGAGAGGGAGAGCGACTGTGTGCTGAAGACCTGGGGGGCATGGGGGAAGGATTGCATGAAGGGGATTGTAATCATGGCAATGAGACGAATAGAATGAATGTAAAACTAATGTTCTCCCATGTAAACTATCACATAATTCACAATAAAACATTTAAGGAAAAAAAAAAAAAAAGAATATGGCTTGCAACTGTAGAGTCCCCAGTGAAAGAGAAACAACCTTTCCCACGTATCCATTATATTGGGAGCAGACCACACCCCCAAGAAAGCATCCTTTCAACTGATTGGCTGCTCATAGCCATTCTCCATAGAGCTAACTATGCATGTATTAGATCTCATCACCATGGGAATAAACATCCCAACTGTTAAGCCTCTGGAAATCCTGGCCTAGTCAAGTTGACAAAGAACCCTAACCATTATACTCTGTATTTTGGTCACTTATCTGTCTTGTTTCTTCATGTAAGCTGAAATTGTCCATTTTCTCTGAGACATTGTGTTGTTATGGGTTAGAACTGAATTGAAAGCACTTAACAACAACAATAACATGCTACCACAGCTCCTAGAATAAACTTGGAATCTACTTTCCACTTAAATGAAGAGTTGGTGCAGTGATTAAGAAAAATCCACAATGAATAAGCCTGACTTGGAAGTGCTCAGAACATCACTACTCGTGTTTAACTGAGAGGGTACATGCCACTGAAGAATCTTGGTTGACACTGGCCAGAATTTATCTGAAATGTGTTTAAAAGAAAACAAAAAAAGGTATGTAAATTTTTGTGTATGAAAAGGAGTTTTATTGGCTTAATCCAAGGATAAACTGAGGGAGCGGAAGAATTGTAAATGCTCCCAGGGCACCTGGACAAGGAGACTGACCATGTTAGAGCTGTATCTCCATGCCTTGCTGCTGCGTGCCTTCCATAAGTTAGTTTCAATCTCTTATTTCAGGCAACCAACAATTTACCAATTTTACATCTTAAAGGTATCACCATCTGAGAGATTGTCCTGCATCAAGAAATCCTACAGAGAGATTCTGGCTGGAGTCAAGAACACCCTACCAGTCTACTCAACTCAGATCAGGTAAGCTGAAGGCAGGTCTCAAAAAGCATACTATTGCAGCGGAGGCTTAAGCATTCCCCAGAATAAGGAGTGCTGGTGAGCTAATGGAAAAATAAAAGTCTCCTATAATGATCACCTGGACAGTGAATAAGGAAGACCATAGAATTGATGCTTTTGAGTTATGGTGTTGGAGGAGAATATTAAAAGTGCCATGGGCTGCAAAAAGAACAAACAGATCTGTGTTAGAAGAGGTGCAGCCAGAGTGCTCCTTGGAGGCCAGGATGGCCAAACTTCATCTCTCATACTTCAGACATATCATCAGGAGGGACCAGTTGCTGAAGAAGGACATCATGTTTGGTAAGGTGGAGGGTCAGAGAAAAAGAGGAAAACCCCCAGTGAGATGGATTGGCAAAGTGGCAGCATCAATGGGCTCAAGAGTGGTAACGATAGTGAGGTTGGCCCAGGATTGGCCAGTGTTTGGTTCTACTGTGTGTAAGGTCCCTATGAGTCAGTACCAACTCGATGGCACCTAACAACAACAACATAATGATCACAGTCAGAATGCCCCAAAAGGTATGCCTATATTTTTTAGTTGGCTTGGATGACTATTTCTAGCTACCTATTCTATAGTCTCTGGTAGCATAGTGGTTACGAGCCATGCTGCCAACCTCAAGGTCAGCAGTTGAAAACTACCAGCAGTTCCATGGGAGAAAGATGAGGCGTTCTGCTCCCGTAAAGATATACAGCCTTGGAAACCCTGTGCAGGGACGCTATGAGTCAGAACTGACTCCATGGTACTTAACGACAACAACAACAACAACATTCTATAGTCTTAGAATTAGAATCATTATATTGATATGATCTCAGCTGGCATTAGCACCCACTAACTTTAGGAATCTTGCCACTCAGCTAGATATTGAAATCACAGTAAGAAGGACTAGCTCTAATCTTATTCCTTGCCCACCATATCACATACCCTACTTTCCAAATTTGTGGCATCCATGTGATTAATTGGGAAGCCTGCCTTGCCCTCATTACTTGCAGTTATTTTGTTCCTTGGTTGGGACACAGTCAGAACATCATTATTCTGAGGATATGTGTGTGTGGAGGCAGAAGAAGGGATAAGGAAGGAAGTAGTAGCAGTGGTGGGGTTGGAACAGTGCCAGTTACTGAGGACATTTTTCTTTTCATTATAGATATGTGATTGTTGTTAGGTGCCATTGTGTCGGTACCAAGCCATAGTGACCTTATGCACAGCTGAATGAAACACTGCCCGATCCTGGGCCAACCTCACTACTGTTGCCAAGCTTGAGCCCATTGATGCTGCCACTTGGCCAATCCATCTCACTGGGGGTCTTTCTCTGACCCTCCACCTTACCAAAAATGATATCTTTCTCCAGTGACTGGTCCCTCCTGGATATAGTCAGTTGAGATGAGTTTCTGCTGAACTGTGGGATTTTTCATTTGTGCTTCAATTTCACAAACACTGAAAATGCTCAAGCACACTTGTTGTTAGGTGACATCAAGATAGCCCAGCTTCAACTCATGGCAACTCAATGCACAACAGAAGAAAACCTTACCCAGTCCTATATCCTCTACATCATCACTGGGAGGCTTGAGCCCACTGTGTGTCCACTGTGCCTTCCAACCTAGAGGGGCATCTTCAAGCATGATATCAGACAACATTCTATTGTCATCCATAGGGTTGTCACTGGCTGATTTTCAGAAGCATATTGAGAGGCCATTCTTCCTAGTCTGTCTTAGTCTGTAAACCTGTTCACCGTGGGTGAGTGACCCTGGTGGTTCTTGAAATACTGGTGGCATTGTTTCCAGCATCATTGAAACATGTCAGCCACTGCAGTAGGACGGGCTGATCAAAAGGTGATATAGAAACAAAGGGGATTCTAAGACACAGCCCCAGGCCTCAGCTTACTTGCTCTGTATGGAAATTACGATGGTTGTATGAGAAACGCAAAGCAGAGAAGTAATGAAAATAACCTCTATAATTTACTGAGCACTCCCAGTCACCTTATTCTATATGACACTATGAGTTGGAATCAACTCTACAGCAACAGCAACTGCTAGACAGTGTGGGAGCTGTTTGATTTTGTTTGTTATGTGACCTAGCAAAGTGGAGAGAGAATCAGGGTGGCTTTTCATCTTGTCTTGTGTGAGCCAGGCGTTTGAAGCTAGGGTCCATTGGCCTCCCGGGGCTCTAATTCCATGGAAAGCTAATTGGAAGGGGCAGTAAAGTTGATGAGCTCCTGTCCGTGATGTTGCACCCTCAGTAGGCCTGTTTTGTCCTCCAAGCCTTGAGACTTGCAGGAGTTTTACTTGATGTCTGATTCCCCTCAGAACTAGTTCCTTCTTCCCTCAGAAATCTAAAGTCTCACAGAAACATTTTAAATTTCTTTATATTGTTGATCTAAATGAAATTCATAGGACCACAAACCCTCCCCACAATACACTGGGGTCTCAGGGGCCTCCTAGGCCACTCTAACCAGATAGACAATTTTCCCTTGGCCTTGGTCTCTGCCCATGTTGTCACAGCCATTAGCCTGAGGTAGGAACCAACCTTGAATTCCACTTCCATCTGAACCACACACATCTGTCTCTATCATTGCTACTAGTGTATATATGTGAGTGCCTCTGAAGTCTTCTCCTCCATCCATTCATTCATATCCTTCCATTCACACCTGCCACCCAAAGCTCAGATTCAAGAGATGAACACTGATTCTAAGGAACTTTGGGTCAGTGAACTTTACAGCTTAAGTGATTTTTGTTTTTAAATAGATGAACTCATTAAATCCTCACAATAGCTGTTGAGTCTGGGCACCTTTCCTCTCAGATTCACAGATAGACAAGGTCATAGAGCTGGTAATGGCATGACTAATATCTCAACTCATAGTTTCTGGTTACAGGGCATTTTCTGAATTACACACTGTGCTGCTGCCACTAACAAAAATAGTTATTTAAAAATTTACTATGTTTTGGGATATATTATATACATTATTTCTAAATCCTGTAGATGTTCTTATGAGGTATATTTTATTATCTTTAGGTTATGGGTGAAGACACTGAGGCTTTGAGAGGAAGTGGCTGGACAAGGGATTGGCCTTTACATAGAGCCAGAGTGTAGCAGAAGGATGATCCTGAGGGACCTGGGGTGGTAACTCAGTTCTTTCTGGATGGGCCAGCAGGGAAAGGGGCTATCTCAGGCACTGGACTCATATGCTTTCTGGAAAATTCTAGACCCCACGGATGCTGAGAAGTTCTGATCTGGCTCCCAGGAGGGACTAGGAATTTTTTCCTGATACTTTAAAATGTTTGTTATTATTATTATTTTAAATTTTGCTTTAAGAAGACCAATAGACAAAGAATAAAATGGACCATCACTTGTATGCAAGTTGAATCTGAAAAACAGACCAAAAAAAGAGCTACTTATGGTTAAACAAATAAAAACTATATGTGCCTGAGTTACAAGGATTGATTCTCCATTCTGAATTAACTAGGTGTTTAGATAGCATCTTGCTTCTATTGAACCATGAGGACACAGCCTAGTTCCATTTGCACGACTCCCTGTGGTCTTGAACATCCTAACTGGAAGCTTTATTTCTAGATCTCATCCCCTTCCTCCTCTTCTATTGCAGCTGACACACACAGATGGTCTTCCGATTTTCAGCTGACAAAAAAGTGTGATCCAGTCCGCTTCATCTTTATTTCCCCTTGTTTGGTTTTACAGCCTGAGAAAATGGCCTGTGATACGTCCAGCTCAAGACAGAGGACTCTATCCACTTCTGGCGAAGCTCTATATGAAATTCTTGGTCTACAAAAGGGAGCATCCAATGAAGAAATTAAGAAAACCTACAGGTATAGTAGAGGAAGTCTAATGATGATTCTTTCTGTGTTACTTTTTGTTGTTAAGTGCTCTGGAGTCAGTTGTGATTTATAGTGACCCTGTATAGCAGGGATAGGGAATCTATTTTCTGCCAAAATTTATAACATCATTCACTGGCTATACAAAATTATCAGCTTGAAAATTATCTGGATACATTTGGTCAAACATTTAATTAATTTACCCCTAAGGACTCTTGGTGTGGCACCATAGGATCAGCACTGGACTGTGAACCACAAGGTCAGCAGCACAAATGTACCAGGTGCTCCTTGGAAGACCCTATAGAGGGTTGCTATGAGTTGGAACCAGCTTGACGGTCCTTAACAATGTGATGGCTAGAACTGAGGTTGCCTTGGCAGGGCCAGATCAAATGATTTCATGGACTTTGTACAGCCCGTGGAGTCCTGGTGTGATGCTGTGGGTAAGTGCACTGAACTGCACTGCAAAGTCAATTTGAACCACAAGATCAGTGGTTCAAGCTCACCAGCTGCTCCTCAGAAACCCTATACAGGGTCGCTATGAGTCAGAACTGACTAGATGGCACTCAGTAACAACACAGCACGTGTGTCAGATGTTCCACAGCCTTGCTATATAGGGTTTCTGAGGCTATAAATCTTTGTGGGAGCAGAAAGCCTTATCTTTCGTCTGTGGAGTGGTTAGTAGTCAAGTGCTTATCTTACAGCACCACACCAGGTCTCTACTGTTGTTGCTAAGTGCCATCCAGTCGTTTTCCACTCATAATGGCCCTGCGTAGGGTTTCCGAGAAGCAGCTGGTAAGTTTGAACTGCCGACCTTGTGGTTCAAGTCCTGTGCTGATCCTATAGCACCACACCAGGAGTCTGTAAGACTCTACTAATGATACCTATTTTCTGATTGGCAAGTGCCTCCGATAAAGTCATAAACTTTTTGCCAAGACCCAGTAATCTGAATGTTAGGCCTGTGTTCCCTGCTCTAAAATACAGGCAATTAGGAGGAGACAGTATGACAGAGAGTTTATGAAAGAACTCTCTGTTGATATGGGGCCTTGAGAGGAGAACCTGGATGTCAGAGAGAGAGAGATCATTATGAATGCCTTTTGTTGTTATACTGACTTGGTTTCTACTCATAGCAGACCTGTATAGGGTTTCTGAGAACTAGCTGGTGGGTTTGAACCACTGACATTTTGGTTAGAAGTCCAGTTGCTTATACTAAGTGCAATCAAGTCAGTTCTGACCCATAACGACCTTCTATAGGGTTTCCAAGGAGCAGCTGGTGAGCGTGAACTGCCAATATTGCAGTCCAGAGCATTAGCCCACAGCACCACACAAGGACTCCCCCATGGATGTGTAAGAGTTGTGATTTAACCTATGTGATATAACAACCACTGAATCTGGTAGAGGACATTAAAAAATTTTTAAATGAATATCAACTTGACACAATGATTGTATTATAAGCTACACTCTTCAGTTCATCAATGTTGATCCTTTGCATCTGATTTAATTCCAAGTTATCCATTTCTGGGGAAAATTGAGATACTCTTTTTTTTTAACTCCAAAGAATAAAAATGTCATAAATACAAAAATAATTTACTTTTTATAGAAAATTTGGACATTATTAAGCATGAAGAAAATAGCATTATTTGTCCATAATTGTACCTCTAGTAATAATTGATATATCCTTCTAGTTTTTTTTTCTGTATGAGTAAGATATTTAAAACCAAATTGAATTTCTCTATTCTCTAAATAGTTTTCTTTTGAACAGTGTTATTAAATATTCTGATTTGTAATGGTTGAAGCCTCTGACTCCACAATACTTTATTCAATCCCTTAATGAACTAGTATTTAACATGTGATTTATTTTAGTTTTTCCCTATGCTGAATATCTTTGTACTTAAATTAGTCTACGTATGTCTCATTATTTCCTTAATATTTTTAAAAGTAAAGTTTTGCCTTTGTTGAAACTATAAACTATAAATGGAAGTTTCTAGTTTTGCCAGTTTCTTTTTATTTGCCTTTGAATTGAGTTTTAAAATTTTATGGGATTTTGTTATCATTATATGGAAGTTTAAATTTTTTAAAGTAAGCTGATTTGTTAAATCATTTCTTTCATGGCTTTTGTTTTATGTGTTGTGGTAAAAAATAAAAGGCTTTCTCAAATACAATATTATAAAAAATATGAACCCACATCTTCTCATAGTCCATTTAGGATTTTGCTTTTATAATAAATCTTTGTTCCACATGAAATTTTTTGCATAAATAGAACTCCAGCTTTATTCTCTCCCCCCCCAAACATCACTAGCCTTTCAATAGTTATTGAATTTTCTATTTTTTATTCATTGATGGGAAATTCTTTGGCATTAGACTGAAATCATCAACATCTTGTAAACTTTGACACTTGAAATACCTGAAATGTTGAAGAATAAATGAGTATGGTGAAAATTGCCATTTGGATCTTGAAAGTTCAGTTCAAATGGTAGCCTGATCACAGTTAATGTCAATTATCTAGTTTATGTTTTACTTAGGGTGCTGGGGAGAGAAAAATGTTTGTTTTAGTGTGTTCTCTAAGCTGGGAGTGTGCCTGGGTGCTGCTCAGCCTGCCTGTGGGTGGATTGGGCTCTATTTGGATGGGCAACATTAAACTTGAGTCTTAGGCTTCATGCTTATCCATTGTGCTAGGGCACTGGGCAGGAATCAGAGTAATCTCATTGGAAGGCTTCATACCTACGAAGATGTGTCCCCACATGAGAACAAAGTGATACCTACTTTGTACTTTCAAAAACCCATTTTACTTTACAAATGTGACTTTTAAGGATCGTTGTAGTGTGGTATTGTAGGATGTAAGCATTGGACTGAAAAATTGGTTTGAACTTCAAGATTGGCAGTTCAAACTCACCGGCTGCTCTTCCGAAACCCTGTACAGGGCCATGATGAGTCTGAATCAACTCAATGACATGTAATAACAACAATTACTTTTATAAGCTAAAGTTTCAGGACATATCCTAATTAAGCCACTAATTGTGCTGAGTTGTTCACAGTTTAATAATTACAGCATAAAGTATTTTCATGTAACCAGTGTCTTGCTATTAATTTTGTTTTAATATTACACAAATATTATTTTTTCCACTGATTAGGGTACTAGTATGCTGTGAAAAGAGTCTACTTCTTTCTAAATTGCACATTTGTATTCTGCAAGTTATTAAAAATGTATGAGCAAGCTGAAAATCCACAGAGAATATTATTCTTATATTCAGGATCTGGATCAAAGCAGTCACAATATAGTGAGATTCAAAGTCAGTGAAATTTAATAAAATTGCCAACTGTTGGATCTCTATACACTGCTTGACTTGGTTGCAACGTCATTGTTAATTCTTGGCTGTGCTATTAAAAAATAAGGCTGAGTTCATTTTTTACTTTTATTTCAAATTTTTTAGTTTTAGATAAATGACATAAGCAGTTGATTAAAAATGGGAAAATACAAATAATTCTACAAAAGATGTCTCTCGCCTATCCCTTTCTCCCAGGTTCCCTTCCCAGAACAATTATAGCAATTTCTTGTGTCTCTTCTGAAGAGATTGTTTGCCTATATAGGTGTATGTATAGAGGACTCCAAGGGTGGCATTACTGTGGCAAGGTATGACAAGCACTGGACTGTTAACCACAAGGTTGGTGATTTGATCCTAACAACTGTTCCATAGGAGAAAAAATGAGGCTTTCTACTCCTATAAAGATTTGTAGCCCTGGAAACGCTAACCAGGGTCACTATGAATAGGAACTGATTTGACAGCATACAACAACAAACCATAGAGGACTATGGGTCTGGACAAGATGGTGTAGTTTTATGTGGTACCTTGAATTTATGTGATATGGCTTTTCTATCCAATGTCATACTCTTCTTTTTTTATTACAAAGTTTTCTATTGTGAATCAAGTGAAAGTTTACAGGGCAGATAATCAGTTTTATATTCAACAAATCATATACTTTGTTTCATTACAATGATTATAATCCCCTTTATGTACCACCAGTTAACAATATTTCTCTGTATTCATTATTCATTGTAGCTCTTTTTTTTTTCTTTTTTTTTTTTTAACACTCAGGCATATATAATAATTTATACCACCAAAGGGCACATTCTGCAAATCTGCCTCCTGGCCACCAGCTCTTAGTTCCCTCAAATTCCATAAATTTAGAGCCCTCAGCTGCTCCTTCTCTTCATGTCCCCATTTCTGTCTCTATTTCTAGTGTCGTTGCTTCTCTGAATAAGGTCCTGCATTCTGCTGGTGCTCTTATCCAATGTCTTCTTAATTCCAACCATGTGATTGGATGGGACCATGCAAATAAGGTATACAGGACTCTTAGACTAGGATTGGTTAGTTTTGCCATTCAGCTAGGTTTAAAAGGAGCCATCTCAGAATCAGGAACAGACAATCCCAGGATCATCAAGAAGGAAGAGTATGAGTGAAGCACGAGATCTCTACCTAGAAAAGTGGTGACAGCAGAGGCAATGGCAGAGGTGGTGGCATGGAGAGACAGAGCAGCTTCCATCTCTAGGCCCATGGGCTGAGTAAAGCTGAGTACCTATGGGCAGGAGACTGGCTTACAGAATGTGTGTCCTTTGGGCATTCACAGACTGGCTAAAAGAGTTTTTCATCAGTTGACTAAGCAGGCAGAGGCCAAGGGGCCACATGGCTGAGAGGCTGAAGAGAAGAGTGAGGTGTGCCTGGAGTTTGGCACATTCCTGACTAGAGAACTGCTTCATCCTGAACTTTTCTGATCCTGACTTGTCCTGTTCACTTCCCTAGTAAACTCCATAATCGGGAGTATTATTATGAGTTCTGTGTGGCCATTGCAATGGATTACTAAACCCAGATGGGAAGAAGAGAGTTCTGTGGATGGCTGGTATCAGAATAAGGTAAAGAAGGTTGTAGGGTGGAAACATGTCTGACCTCTGCTTCATAGGAATTGGCCTTGGGCTGGTTTTGCATTTGATTCTCTTTTGA